CACACGCGCAGACGCGCAGACGCACAGACGCACAGACGCACAGACGCACAGACGCACAGACGCACAGACGCACAGACGCACAGACGCACAGACGCACAGACGCGCAGAGGCGCAGAGACGCAGAGACGCAGAGACGCAGAGACGCAGAGACGCAGACACGCAGACACGCAGAGACGCAGAGACGCAGACACGCAGACACGCAGACACGCAGACACGCAGACACGCAGACACGCAGACACGCAGACACGCAGACACGCAGACACGCAGACACGCAGACACGCAGACACGCAGACACGCAGACACGCAGACACGCAGACACGCAGACACGCAGACACAGACACGCAGACACGCAGACACGCAGACACGCAGACACGCAGACACGCAGACACGCAGACACGCAGACACGCAGACACGCAGACACGCAGACACGCAGACACGCAGACACGCAGACACGCAGACACGCAGAGGCGCGGAGGCGCGGAGGCGCGGAGGCGCGGAGGCGCGGAGGCGCGGAGGCGCTGGGGCGCAGGGGCGCAGAGGCGCAGAGGCGCAGAGGCGCAGAGGCGCAGAGGCGCAGAGGCGCAGAGGCGCAGGGGCGCAGGGGCGCAGGGGCGCAGAGGCGCAGAGGCGCAGAGGGCGCAGGCAGAGAGACAGAGAGGCAGAGAGACAGAGAGACAGAGAGACAGAGAGCCAGACGCAGACGCAGACGCAGACGCACCCGCACCCGCGCCCGCAGACGCACCCGCAGACGCAGACGCGCACGCACCCGCACGCGCACGCGCACGCGCACGCGCACGCGCACGCGCACGCACACGCACACGCACACGCGCGCGCCACTCGCCCGCACCCGCACGCGCACGCGCACGCACACGCGCACGCGAACGACCACGCACACGCACACGCCCACACACCCACACCCACGCACACACACACACACACCCACACCCACACACACACCCACACACACACACACGCACAAACGCACGCACGCACGCACACACACACACACACCCACACCCACACCCACACCCACACCCGCGCGCGCGCGCACGCGCGCACACACACCCTCGCACACACACACACCCACACACACACACACACGCGCGCACGCGCGCACGAGCACACACGCGCACACGCACACACGCGCACAAACAAACAGGCACACGCGCGCACACCAGCGCACGCGCGCACACGCATGCACGCACACAAACAAACAGGCGCACACGCATACACGCGCAAAGACACGCACACACAGACACACACCCACCCACCCACCCACGCACCCACGCACGCACGCACGCACGCGCGCACGCACGCGCTCGCGCGCACGCGCACGCGCACGCGCACGCACACACACGCACACGCACACGCGCAGGCACACGCACACACACACACCCACACACGCACACACGCGCACACGCGCACACGCGCGCGCACACGCACACGCACACGCACACGCACACGCACACACACCCACACACACACACGCACACACGCACACAGATGGCACACACGCACACACGCACACACGCACACACACACGCACACAGACACACAGACAGACACACAGACACACAGACACACAGACACACACACACACACGCACACACACACACACACACACACACGCACACGGACACGCACACGCGCACGCGCACGCGCACGTGCACGTGCACGCGCACGCGCACGCGCGCACACACGCACACGTGCACACGCACACACACACACACACACGCACACACACACACGCACACAGACACACAGACAGACACACAGACACACAGACACACAGACACACAGACGCACACACACCCACCCACACACACCCACACCCACACGCACACGCACACGCACACGCACACGCGCACGCGCACGCGCACGCGCACGCGCACGCGCACGCACGCACGCACACACGCACACCCGCACACCCGCACACACGCACACAAGCACGCACGCGCGCATGCACACACGCACACACACACACGTACACACGCGCACTCGCACAAACGCACACACGCACACACACACACACACGTATACACGCGCACTCGCAGAAACGCACACGCGCACACGTGTGCGCGAGCACGCGCGCGCACGCGCACACACGCGCAAAAGTATACAGGCACACGCACACACGCACGCACGCACGCACGCACGCGCACACACACACACACACACACGCACGCACGCACGCACGTGCGCAGGCACACGCACACGGACACTCACACGCACACGCACACGCGCACGCACACGCACACGCACACGCGCATGCGCACGCGCACGTGCACGCGCACGAGCACGGACGCACGCGCACGCGCACACGCACGCGCACGTACGCGCGCGTTTGCGACACGTGCGCACGCGCACACGCAGGCAAGCGAGCAAGCAAGCAAACGAGAAAAACACGGAACGAAGGGAGCGACGAAGGAACGGACAAACAAGCAAGAAAACAATCAAGGCGCCGCAAGACAAGATAGGGCGAGACAAGACAAGTAAGGCATGACAGGACAAGACCAGACAAGACAAGGCAAGCAAGCAAGAAAGCAAGCAAACGCACACACACGCAAACACACCAGCAAGCTCAAGCAAGCGAACGAAGAGGCAAGCAGGCAAGCAAGCACGAATGCGCACAAGCGCACAAGCAAGCAAGCAAGCAAGCAAGCAAGCAGGCAGGCAGGCAAGCAAGCAAGCAAGCAAGCAAGCAAGCAAGCAAGCAAGCAAGCAAGCAAGCAAACGCACACACACGCAAACACACCAGCAAGCTCAAGCAAGCGAACGAAGAGGCAAGCAGGCAAGCAAGCACGAATGCGCACAAGCGCACAAGCAAGCAAGCAAGCAAGCAAGCAGGCAGGCAGGCAGGCAAGTAATCAAGCAAGGAAGCAAGCAAGAAAGATCCAATCAATCAAACAAAGGCACCCGCACACACACACATACGCACACGCGGGCAAAATACGCAGACGCACGCGACAACCGCACAAAGACACAAGCGCGCAGCAGACAACACACAAACGCGCATCACATATATTACAAACATAAGGGCTGCTGGCGGTTGTGATGGGCCACACACACAGAAGTGTGGACACAAAAGTGCAAACAGCAAACACACACACACACTTCAGTACACAGACACAAGCGCACGCACAGACACGAACCTTCACAGACCCAACGCAAAGAGACATGTAGACAAACGAGAAACACACAGCCAGAACGAATTCCCGAGGCACTCTCACAGCCAGATACACAGAACTAGGCGTCAACATGCGTGCACACGGGCCAAGCAAGAGACTACGCAATAGACGTGACTTGACTGGGTTCGCAGGATTTGAACACGTGGCACACAAAGCCGTATGAGCGTCTCGGCAGAATCATGAGCAGTAGCAATGCCCTACTGTTCCAACACCTGCGCTGTACTGAGGACGGTGATGGGTTGGATGCTATGATCTGGTTGATGACAGTAAAACAATACTACTGCTGAGCTGATGCATGTGCCGTTTTGCATCTGCATGTGTTGCTAGACTCTGGACCGAGCTACCATTCTATGCAAGGCTCCAGCTGCGATGTCATACTTGCCCTCACAGCAGCGCATTTAGCATGGTTGCTGACTGCGTGATCGTGAATAGAGAGAAGAGACTAGACAATCCGTCCGCATACCGAGGTCAGCCACACCGACGCTGCCCGTCCGACGTGTTGTGGCCCCAACAAGACTGGTAGCGGGTTTGAGTGATTGCAACCCGGAGCTCGACGTTCTTACAGAGAGAGCTGTCTCAATTCCGATGGGCAATGCTTTCGCTTTGGCATAGGCGGAGCAGGGAGCCGTCGCTTCGCCAAGGCGAGCATGTGTTTTCATCAATGGAGAGAGTTTTTGAATGCCAGACAAGAAAGAGGGAGAGCATGGGACTATGTCTCTCTTATTCTCCGTTTCAGGTATGGCCTGAGGCCAGAATCTGTATCGGGTGCCTTGGCAGCTTGGAGGACTGGACACATCTGCCTGAAATCGAAGCCGAGGCTATGCCTCCGTGCCGATGCCGCCAAGGTGCTTCAGCTAACCCTAAGTACTTCAGCCTGACAGCTTATCTTCAAAGGGCCCCACCACTTCTGCTGTGGAGCGGGTAAAATGGAGAAATCTGGGGGGCCAAGGGTTTTGCTTTCAAAGGTGGGCCAAGGGTAGGTGGTCCTTTTCACTTTATACATACTAAAATGGAGGGGTAAATATGTTGTGAAACAGGCCTCAGTTTGGCTGGTTTGCGTAGTCAGGGACTACCCTGCTTCCCCTGCAAATGCGCTGGCAGCCAGACCCTCAGCAAGCAGAGCAGCTTCATGGGGGTTTGCAGTATATCCGGCAATTCAGTATGAGTCGTATGAGCACTGGCACTTTGCACGCAGCGGCAACTCAGTCGCCGGCAAGTGCTCAGCGTCGAATTCCAGGCAATCTGTTCACTGGTGTCATAGAAGGCAGTGAAATCTTCGCTAGGCTTTAGTGGCATTGGCTACGCCCCAGTACACCAAGCTTCTCGGACAAAGACATGCTCTCTGCTTGGAGCGTCGCTTTGAGACCCAGGTTCATGTTTCGAAGTCTCCGGCGCTGACGCGGGGGGACCACATCTTGCCATCAAATTGCGACCTAGAAGCTGCAGAGCATCGGTGTGCTGGTTGACCAGAGGTCAAACTTGTCATCGATGATCCCCTTTCTGACTTCCAACGCGGGCACAGCAACAGGCGCGGTGAGTCTGAACAGGCTGACAATCACATGTGCAGCAAAGGCTGGCGGGCTGTCCGTTTTTGGCTAGTGCTGCAACAGCTGAGAGGTATCTAACATGTCCATTGTCATGTTCGCTGACGCTTGCTGTGAAGGAACGGGTCTTCACTACCCGCCGAATGCCCCACTAAGCAGCAGGCTTAGAGTTGTGAATCCCACTCACCCACCTTAAGTCAAAACTTGCCTATGTTTGTAGAGTCGCAGTGTCTCAGCCTTAAGGGGGCAGCCGCCAGCCTGAGTCCATTGCGGAGGTTATGTATTGCACTTAGCCTTTGCGTATGAGCTGCTCTTGCTGCATGTATTCACCAGGCCGCCCAAGCTGGCCAAGATTCTGCATGCCGATGTTTCCCCGCGCTACAATGTGTCAGGCTCTCAGAGAAGATCGCAATGCCAACGTACTCGTAACGTCGGGTATTTCGCAGGTCCAAGGCGGGCACGTTGCAGGCGGGCGCTCGGACACCGTCGCTCGGCCAGCCGCTCGGTCGCACCGGGCGAGTTGCGAGGTGCGGCAGCAGCGCTTGGCCGCGCGGCCGACCCGCACCAACGATGCCGAGGACAAGGCGCGACCGCATGAGAGGCCTGCGACCAAAAAAGTCTCGGTCATTCGTGCGACGGTCTTTGAGCTTCGGGCAAACATATTATGATTGGATGCTTCTCATGATGCGCGTTCAGAACGCACTCGTTCGTTTAGCTCTTCACCAGGATGGCTACTGGGAGGTAGCAGAAGGCTGGCCTGAAATGCAAGCAATATGACTTCTCCTGCAACCGACGGACCGAGGCAAGCAGGAGTACATCTACACCGTCTAATGCTCGTGACATGCAGTGCTGAGGCACGTGGCTTGCCGCAAGAGCAAATACGCGTGCCAGCAGAAGTCTGTGCAGGGCCAGCAGAAGTCTGAGCATATGCACGTGCAGATGCCAATCGGTTTCACCCTTCGACTCTGCTTAAATCCATTGATGCTAATGTTTAGTGCTGATAGCCTGGGGAGAACCAGGCGAGACAAAGTGAGCGCCGAGATGCCTTCTGCTGGGTGCACTTTCCAAGATGGGTCTGTGTTTTTTTACCGTGTCAGTTCTTTAGTCTTCGTGGGAGGTGGGGCTTGGGCGAGCCATACCCCCGAATCATACCCCGAACCATACCCCCGAGCCATACCCCGAGTCATACCCCTTAAAAAACACAAAAAAAAGAACTTGCAAGAACTGTGGCATTTGCATGTTGACATGTCCACTCACACACTCACTGGTTACTCGTGGGGGGCCATTTTGGCTCAAGTGGTGTTCCTTGACACTCGGCTCGGTCTCGGCTTGCTATTTTCAATGGAAAGTGCCAATGGATGGAGTTATAGAGCAATCCTGCGGATGTCCTGGTACTAGAGTTGTCTGTAGCATCCGTGGTGCTGTGGCGGGGGGGTGCAGCTTGACGTAAGACGCTGGGACTTGCAGGGCGCTGTGGCGGGGGGTGCCGCTGCTGAGCTTGAAACTTGGAGCTTGCTTCCTGCAGTCTGTCCGACGCGGTGGAAACAGCTGTCTGTCCTGGGCCACTGTCGCAGTGAAACACAAGCTGTCTTTGTGCTCCTGGGGTACTCTTGGTGTCTTTCCGGTCGAAAAACATCTGTCCCCCGATTCATACCCCCGATTCATACCCGATTCATACCCCGATTCATACCTTTCTGCTGCCATTTGCAGCCAAGAGCCTCTTGCGCTCTGGGCAGTACTAGCGAAGCTATGTCGCCCAAATCCTCAGAAGACACAAAACTCAAAGAGAAGCACTGCAGGAACCAGCTCGCCGCTTTTTTGGGCAGAAGTTCGCCAGAAGGTGGGTTCGGAAGGCTTACTGCGATGTATCAAGCGCGACACGGTACACCACCTGTGAGACGGCCACTAGCCTCGCGCGGCTGCCGTTTGAGGATGTCACGCTGTCTTGCCCTTACGCTGGTTCGTGACTGGTGCAGGTGGCGGGCCTGACTGGGCAGCGGCGCTTCCCCGCGGGTCGCTTGAACTCCAAGTGGAGGTGGCCATGACGTTCGCCTCAGGCAGTGGCTCTGCGCCTTCCACCTAGCGCAGAAGCTTTCGCTAACCCACTCACGCAGAGTGGCAGCTGTCTAGCTCAGGCCACTCACAAGCGCCCCAGGCTGGCTTGTAGCAACTAAGCGGTCCAAATTCTCACGGCTATCCAGTTGCCAGCGCACGGGAGCTTTGCAGTGTCCAAAGCCACAAAGCAAGAGTTCAGAGGCGCGCGAGCCATACCCCGATTCATACCCCCGAGCCATACCCCGAACCATACCTGCGACTCATACCCCTTATACCAACCTCCCGGCACGGCCACGTCAAAAAAACACATACCCATATGGATCGTGGCTCTTTTGTCATAAGATCAAAGAAGTGAAGCTCGGACACGCCAGGCACTGACCCAGAGCTGTTGGCCATGGTGCCGCCAGAGCGATTAGTGGGCCGCTCAGATGGCTTGACAACTTGAGCCGGTCTTCTGGATCTTTTCTATGGTTTTAGTGGTGGTAAAGCGTATTTTCCTTTTTTTGTGGTGGTCAAATGGCAAACAACAAGTTTGGTTACTTTTTTGGGCCCATCCACTCGATCGGTTGGGCAATGTTGCACACGTCCAAGGCAGTGACGCTACTGTACCAGTGCTCCGACAACATCCGCAAGTTCAAAGAGGCAAGGGGCAATTTGAGTGAGCGCCCGATGTCGGCGCACGGATCAGGAACAGCGGAGAGTGATCGAAGCCAACGGGCAGTCCTTGAGTCCAAAGCTCGTATACCTGAAGCAGTGCCCAAGGGCTGCGCGAGAAGCTCGAGACATGTATGGGTCAAAATTATGCCACCAGGGGACCGCAGGGTTTAGTCCTTGTCTCCTTTTCCAGGGTTCCGTTTTGGGTACCTATTTTTGACCCACACCCATGTGACAGTGACATCAGTGACCAGGTATGTGGGGAACGCTTGCGGCACGATTGCCTGCCTGCACAGCATCGGCAACAGCTCCGAGGTTAGCCGCTTTTTCGATTTGGCCTGGCTGGCAATTCCGGTTTCAAGACCTGACAGGCGCTGGGAATCTCACCAGAGTCTCCCATTGGCAAGTTTCTGGAGACCATCAAGGGCAAGACGCCCCAGGAAGGGATTCTGAAGGAGTTCTGAAGGGATGCATGGCGCATGGCGCTTGGCGCCAGGATGCTGGTCTGGCCCTTGTGGATGCCACTGACTTGCATTCGGCCTCGGAGGCTCTCGACTTTGCCCCGTATTGACCATTTGCATCAGTATCATCGGTCAGATTATTGTAGTCCGTGCCCCAGTTTTTTCTCTGTGACAGGCAAGCGCTCGGGGCGGACAGACTGCTGCCCCAGAGGCAGAATGCCGTGTTCGTGATCATGGGCGTGTGTTGATTGGGTCTTGACAGGCACATGCGGATGTCGATGCTCACTTCATTTGCTTTGTCGAGTGTTCCGGCTTATTCATAAAGCAGCCAGGTAATTGGATTTGCAGAGAGCGAGTGCTAAGGAAAGATGGAGACCTGTACGAGCTTGATGGCAACAAGGCAGTATGAGCTGAATGCCGAATTCGGTGCTTCTGTTTGTTTGTTTGTTTGTTTGTTTGTTTGTTTGTTTGTTTGTAGCGAAGCTTTACTCTCCGTGACGAGGCCTTTCCCATCAATCATGGTCCCACAGATGGCGATCTGCTGGGAACGGCTGGCCGGGTTATCAAGGCCAGGCTCGTTTGGAACAAATGACACGTGCAGTGCGCCACTGTCATACCCATTCAGACCCATGATGCCCATTTCAGGCCAACTTCATGGACAAGGATCCCGAAAGCATCAATTTCAATATGCCCTGCACTCGGCCTTTCAACCGACTTGGAATGCCTGGAAGCAGCGTTCAAGATGCGTTGACAGTTGGACGAAGGATGGCCCTGGTGAAGGGCTGAGCCGTAGTCCTGCCAAAGCTGCTTGAGCCGTTGCATTTCTGCACCTTCTCTTCACATTTATTTGGTCGAACAGCTCAAGTTTGCGCGTAGTCCGCGAGAAGGGTAAACAGCGGGTGTTAGCCCCAGGCATGTGTGCCTCAGGCAACCGGAAAGATAGACCAGTCACTGACCAATATGGTCGCTGTTTCGACAAGGACAGGTATGGCAGCGGCGTGTTTGCGGAGAAAACATCGGCAGTTTCTTCATGTCACCAGTTGGTTCTGATGCTTGCTTGCGCTCTTTGAGATGCGGCTGTCGGCCTTGTGATGCAGTTTTGCTCATGGCCAGTCGCAAACCGCTTGGGTGGCGCAGCATGTGAAGGCTCATGCAGGTGCAATTTTGATGGAAGCCATCAGGCATTGGACGGCCCAGGTGTCTTAAGAGCCTTGGCTGCAGCTCATACTGAGAGCCAACCGCTTCCTTGAAAAAGACAAGCCAAGGAGTGGCCTCCCTTCGCCATGTCTGATAGCAAGGTCTTTCTAGGCAAGCTGTTGTTCTGCATCATCGGGTGGAGTTGTCCGACGTCAAAGTTACAGATTTTACAGCACTCTGCGAATAACACGCGGCAACACATGCCCTGGCTCGACAGGCAGTGCATGTGCTCTCCTGCAGGTTGCATTCCGAACCATGTAGATGAAGATGCCCTCAAAGAGGCTGGTACCGTGTAGGTGCTCTTTTTTCAGGGTGTCAAACCCTGGAATGACGTTGATCATTTCCTGCGCAGGAGTGCGAGAAGCAGGGCACCATCAAGGAGTTCTTCTACATGCAGGAGGGTGACAGTACATAGAAACCAGTCCCAATGCTTGGTCAACGCTGCGAGGACCAGGTTGGCACAGATAGAGGTTGGGCCTTCGTGACCTACGAGGAGCTCCAGAGAAAGAGAGTCGCAACATGTGGCAGGCGGTGCAACACAATTGCTGGGCCCAAATCGAGAACAAAGCATTGAAGAACAGAACTAACAAGGCTATTGTTTGAAAAGGGTATATAATATACTTTAAGAAAAAGCACGGGACAGAACTGAGAGCAGCTAAGCGAGCATCGAATGTACAACCAAGAGCTTGCACCGGAAGCATACGATGCATCAATCAAGCCGCCCCAAGATTCGGGCAGACAACTCTGCTGCAGAAACCTGTGTACACGCCCAATATCAATGATGAAGCTGTCACCGCATAGCACGCAGAAGCTAGAGCATGCAGGCACACCGCCAACTGAGGATGCCAAGTAAATTTGACAAGTGCAGTTTGTACCCGGGCCTGCTGCTGCAATTGCTTCTGCTCCAAAAATGACAGACAAGATGCAGCAAGCACCTGATGAGACGAGATATTCTCAGCTCAGCCCACGTCAGCTTGGATGTTTCGCTTCTTTGGATTTGGTTTCTTCGTTTCTTCGGCCCTCTTGAGCCTCTTTGCTTGCCTCGCAAGAGCTGCGAGGATGAGACGGAAGCGGCTGTCGCTGTGGCGATGTTCAACGGGCAGCAGATCTTTCCAGGCAGTGCACGGCCTCTGCAGTGCAAGCAGTGGCCTTAGTGCACAGCTGGTGCCAACTTGTTCCATTTGGAGCAACAAGCCCTCAATGCTCCAAGGTTTGCCAATGAAAAGATCACCAAGATTGAGGGCACTGTCTTTGAGGCCAGTTTTGACTGCTGGCAAAGCCAACAGAACTCTAAACTCTAAACTTGTTCTTTCATCAGCATGTGCGCGGACTTCTTACGATTCCTAGCACCTCGACATCCCAGTGGACATTTGGAGCTTGTGTGAGTGCAGAGAGGAGTATTATTTCCATTGACATGCCAGGCTCCGACGAAGGCAGTGACACCATGGCAGGAGTTTACCACTCCAGAGGGAAAGGCTGGGGGCTGCACAGAACGGTGCCATGCTGATAAGCTTGTCATTGTGAATCATGTCCCAGCCCTACTACTACAACAGCGTCACCAAAGAGACAAGATGGGAGAAGCCTGCAGAGTCAGGGGCCAAAGAATAGCCAATGCAGCATGTGTCCAGAGTAAGAACCTCTCCGAATTGTTCATCCCACCCGTTCAAGGCCTAAAAGGGGTCCCTAGGGTCGACGCATTGTGCCAATGCGTTCAAGCAAGGCTCGGCGGTCAGACGGTGCCGTCCTCAAGCACGGATTTTCCATGCAAAGTTTATTCGAGACAGTTTCATTTAATTGTCCCGCGACTTAGCGCAGAGAGCATGCTTCTCAAAAGTCATGATCGTAAAGTCTTTGAGTATGACTTGGTCGATGCCTTCCAAAGGCTGCGCCTGGCCAGCCATCCCTACCTGGAGCCACCGCAGGCTGGCTCCATGGTTTTCCGGCTTTGCAAAGATATCAGGGAGCCTTCCCGCGTCCAGGTGTCACCACTGGACAGCTGGCCCTCACGCAGGCCCTTTTGTCTATGACTCCCCCACAGTCACCGGACAATTTTGTTCCACGTGGGTGCTGGGATTCCACTGATTCATCGGGAGCCGTGGAGTTTCGCATTACTTGTGCCTTGACTAGGCAGCGCTGCCTGCCATGCAAGGAGGAAATGGACCACCAGGCGCGTGTTTGGTGTGGTGCACGTGGGCGCTCCACCATGAACTGCCAGTCAGACAGTTTCAAAAACACTGCATGGCATTGTGCTAGCCGCATCAACCTATCGACCGATTTCACGCAATGGCAAATGCTGGTGTTGCTGGCAACAGAGGATATGCATGCTTCAGGAGCCAACATCTTTGTGTTCCACGTGCCAATTAACTGGACGGATGATGACTTCAACGCGCACTTTTCTCCGTTTGGCCGGCTTGTTTGCACATGCTTGATTTGCAGTGAGTCAAGCCTCCAGACATTGAGCAGGTTTGGGCAGATTGTGTCAGCCAAGATCCACGTGGATCCAGTGACCAAGGCTTTGCAATGCCTGCACCAAGTTACATGTCATTCACATTTGGCGAGAGTTGGCCATGTTGGGGTTGCCAGGCATCCAAAGGTTTCGGGTTTTGCTCATATGCGACTACGCAAGCAGCCACCATGGCCATTAAAGGAATGAACGGTGCCAGCCTCAGTACTACCTCGAAGCTGAGGGGGTGTGAGCTGAGCGCATTCTGTTTCCAGGGATCCAGTAGCAAGCCCGCCACGAGGTTTCGACACAAAGCAAGGCAAGTTCCTGAAGGTCACGATTAAGAAGGGCGAGGAGCAGTGCCCCACTTGGTTCACAGAGCCCAAACTCAGAGTGAAAGCTGCATGTGTGGAAAAAATCACACATGCTCAGGTACAACCCTGATGCTGTCTCCGCTCAGAATGTTCCGGAACCTGCCTTAGTGTCCTTGCCAGCGCCGACAGCCAGTTCTTTTTGTTGCCATTGGATCGAGTCACGCATCGCATATAACACATAATATACATACATATATATATATACATATATATATACATATCTTTATCATATAATGAATACATTTGATATTGGATATTTAATAGGGAAAGCTTTGATCTCAGGTTCAGACTGGTGGTGCCACAACTCCGGCAATCGTAGGCAGGATGCAGTTTGGCTCCCTGCATGGAAACAAGCTGTGAGCACCCGCGTTTGTGCCCCTTGAAGGTGTTCAGCCGACTGTAGCAATGGGCGTGGACTCATCAACGCTGGCGCAAGCTGCGTCGAAAGGTCATTTGGTCAAGGCTGAGAGATTCGGAGTGCTTTGGCAGCTAAGTCCAATGAGTGCAGGCGAATCCCACACAGCCGCCGGCCCCCTTGGCCTTGCCAGGGTTGGCGGCTCAGTTTCCCGTGGCTGTTTCTGGCATGACCAGTTGTCAAGGCAATAGATCGGTGTGCCATGCGTGACGGTCGTTTCTGCAGCTTCGCCCGGCACTGAATGGAGTCCTTGTCTCGGATTGTGTCTACCCTGTGTATGTGCCGAGGCTGTGAAGCGGACAGGATCATTCATGCTTTGGCGACACTTTGAGCCCTCAGTCCACGGGCCTGGCTGTTTCACACGAGTCGCAAAGCGCAGTACTCCTGGGCCAGGAGCTGTTGCTTATCCAGTCACAAGTTAGCCTTTAGGCATGTTCAGTCGGATGGAGTTGAGCCGCATAAAGTGATTGCGATTCACATGCCAATGGATGCCGCAGAGGCAAATGAGGCATACTCAGGGTGGAAAAGCAACATGTCTGGTTGGTCTTTGCAGTGCGAGATCACAAATGCACGTTGCGACTCTGGCATGCTCCAAGGAGGAGGGGCACATCAACATACAATGTGTTTGTATCGCTGCGTGTACTGGAGTGCCACTCCATGATGCTCAATCATCAGTGGTAGAACAGCTGCGAAGCGAAGTGCTAGTGTAAGTAGCAGGTACATGCATTTGAGCAATCAACATGAACAGAACATTGTGGCAACCTAGAATTGCGGTTTGGTTATCCTTCATGATGTGCGCTATTCAAGTGCAATGCTGACGTCTTGGTTTGCTGCTCCATAGGCGCATGTTTGCTTGATCCGGGAGTTGGTTGAGGTCAAGGAGAAGCGGACATGCAGGGCATCCGAGCTGACATGCGCCACAATCAAAACGCGAGTACATGAAGGTTAGTGAGGGGCAGTCCCAGCCGGAAATGGTTGCGGCCGCCTTTCTAATTCTTTAAATGGTTCTGGGTTCACCATTTGTGTACCAGGTTTTTATTGTGACTCACATGAGATCTCAGTGCCTGGAAGCTTTCAGACAGTTCTGTTCCAAACCGGTCGGGCCATGGCCTGCCGCAGCGGGGCTCGGAGTTCCAGGCGTTCGAGAGAGTCGAGGGGTTGATAAAACGGTCCCACAAACATGGGATGACCGCTGGTGAAAACCGCTAGAGAGATGATATTTCCCACACAATGGGAGCAGTTACCCATGGTCATTTGGGGGCCAGGAATATTGATCAACCCCCAATTGTGATTGCGACTGATTGCAAGTTGCAAAGAGCCACGTCTTGGGCAGGGTGCTCCCACGGCGGAAGCCCACGCCACTGGCACCAAAGGCTGGTGGAGCGGTGGAGCCTGGCTTTGAGTGGAGTTGCTCCCCCTGCCAGCTGCATCCTGGCACCGGGCTGCCGTTATCTCGTGCTCGTGGACAGCACCTGCTTCACAATAGAGGCGCCTGCTGCAAATCGACCGGGCAAGGAAGGGCCGCTGGTGCAGGTGTCTTGCAGAAGCTCATTGATGCGGCGGACATTCGAGCGTCGGATTCGGTGTTTGAGGCGGGTAGGGGTCAAAGGCGTCAAAGGCGTCAAAGGTAGGATTCCGGGATGCGATTCCGGCAGGATGCTTTGAGCTTTAAGGTCAGGTTGGAAGTTCCTGAGTTCCGAGCTCCGAGCCAAGGTGGGATGCGGCACCGGGGAGTTGACCACTGAGCTGCTGCCACGAGCACGCAAGGCGTAGCGAGAGTTCGGATTTGGCTGTGGTGGTCAAAACCAATGGTACCATTTGGTAGTTGCACCGGGGGTACGGGCTTTTGACCCGTGGCCATTTGGCCCGCTTTTTCGATTCGACTCAGGTTTACACCATCGACCTTGATGAGCGCATGGCTCAAGAAACCCAGAGTCGAGCACAAGCCAGCGGTTTCCAGAATCTGGAGGCAGGGCAGTTTTTTTGGGAGGTTGCGAAAGACATGCATCTGAGGTGGTCACAGGGGATGCCTTGCGCGTGCCCTTGCCACGTCGCTTTGATGTTTGCGTGCCAAGGGCTGAGCTGAGACGCCAAGTTGCTCTTGTCAAGCTGTTCACGCAAGGTCCAATTTGTTGAGGACTCAGTATCTTGAAACGCGAATCTGTGCAGCATGGCAGCTGAGGCCCTACAAAATCTCGGCCCCCATCATCTTCCGCTTGCTGCGCCGGATCTCGGAGGGCCAACCATGGCGCTCTGCCGTGCTCATGCTTCAGAGCGCCTCAGCAATTTCAATAGCGGGATGTGACATGTTTGCGCGATGTGACATGTTTGAAACATCAGGTTGGAGGCTCCGGACTGTCTGACAGACTGTTTAGGGTCAAACCTGCACAAACATTTGACGACGTCTTGAAGAAGCACGCGTTTTCACCCAGGCAGCTGTCTCTGATAAAATGATTGTGTTCAAGCAAATGCCTCGCGTTTTGCACCATACCTTCCACTAAGAAGAGTTTGCAGATCGGCTTCTCTCAGATCCTGGCGAGAAAGGTGCGACATGTTTGTGGCAGATAGAGCATTGCCGGCAGTCTCAAGCCAATTGAAGGCATTTGACGGCGGTGCTTGGCGCAGGTTTTTCGCGGCTGGCGTTGAACGTCCGGCTGTTTGCCCGGGCAGTGCGCCTCTTTGACGTTAGCCCGGGCAGCTTCACTCCGGCGCCGGACAGGGCTGGAGTTGGAATTCAAATCGAGTGCAGACAGATCGCATGAAAGGAGGCAAGACTTGTCCAGTCAAACCAGGCACCCCTTAGGCGATTTTTCCGATGTGAACAACCCTTGAAACTCTGCGTGCCCAAAGAACTGATGAGGCTTTGCCTCGGGTTCTGACGTTGTGATGCACTCTGAAAAGACTTGGATTCGCCCAAAGTGCAGGAAGTGCACTCAACCGTTATCCGTTTGGAGCCACGGATCCCTGCACCAGAGGCGATGGAAATGCAGCAGAGCGTGTTTGCACCTGCATGTAACAAACATGCCAAAGACGCCCTTGACAAAACGGGAGGTGGATTTCCCTGTTCGTATTCGGAAGGTGGATTTCAACGAGTGGGATGCGCTGATCCGCGTGATTTTCTTCAGACGCCGCAAGACGTTGAGAAGGCAATTTACAAAGTTGTGCCTTGGTCCTTGTACTCATTTATGACAAGAGTATGCAGTAGCAAAAAGTACGTGAATGTGGCACAGGACGAGAGATAGGTGAGTCGGCAAGTTTGTTCAAGCGGTATATTGAGGTCTACCCTGTCCATGCTGGAGCAGAATTACAAGATACTTGGCGATGCGCGAGTGCTTAAATTCGGGGACACGGCCGGAACAGCTGAGGATGTGGTGTTCACTCTCTGGTGTGAAGCCTTCTCCCACGCCCTTCCCACAGCTTGTTCTGGAAGCGCCTTGGCCACAGCGCAAAATGAATGAGCAATTTGACGATCTGGGAGGAACGAGTCTAAGAATATGTTTTCCATTGCATTATACCAAAGCTAGGCGGGCAGTTTGTGGCCTGGAGTCGGGGCAAAAGGTTGTCCTGAGGTGCTGCAGGATGAGGCAATGCTACGGGAGCGCGCCTTTGCCATGGACCTAGACGATTTGCACTTGCTCCTCAAGGCCTTCAACAAGCGAGGCAGGATTGGCAAACTTTGCACTTTTTGGCTTGGCTCAACAGCTTTGGACTGGTCCGGCAAAAGGTGCCAAGACGTGCTTGACCTCCAATGACCCTTATGCCTTGCAAGGCATCCACTTCGCGAGTGTTCACCAAGGCAGGGCCGTCAAGATGGCACTCAGAAGCTTCTTGATGCGGTGAAGACCATTCCGGCCAAGGAGCTGAGCAGGAGGATGTGTTTGACTACCAGGCCAGCCTGCAATTTCCTCAGCAAGAGACACTGCCCAATGCGCAGGACACAGCAGGCGTGGAGCTTAAGCCGTACGCGTGGCGTGGCACGCTTCCGACGCACTCATGACAGGCTCTCAGTGGCCAGCCGGCGCTAAGCTGCATATGTCTGGAGGACACTGCTTGCCAGCTTGCGCTTGGCAGTTTCGCCTGGTCGCAGGACTGGATCCATCATGCCAGTATCCGTGAGCTCAGACAAAAAAGTAACAATCAGATGAATCATATGAATTATTGTAATGTATGCATGACTCTGCGCGAAAGTCACCATAAGTCGCCTCCGCGCGATCGCATCAAGAAAGCATCAAAGAAGAAAGAAGAGATTAAAAGCGGCCTCCAAACCAGCCCAACAGTGTAAAAACAACGTGCCGCCTCGAGTGGGGCTTGGAGGTAATGCCAAATCTCTCTAATGCGCTCTTGGGAAAAACAGTGGTTACGCGAGCAATCTCAGGAGCATGAGCAATTCGCAGGTTGACATGCAAGAAACCCCTGCGCGGCACCCACGGATTGACATGAATGTTCACACCAACCTGGACCACACGGTAAGCCTCCCAGCGGGTTCCTTGGGCCACGGCTCAAGGGCAGCTGTGGCCAGACGCCAGGGGTGCCTTGATCCAGGTTGCAAGCAGCAGCGGTTGGTTGGCAAGATGCGAGCGGAAACCTCGAATTTTGCAGGGCAGGTGACAAGAGCTTGACGTGCGGTCATATCGACGTGGCAGTTGGGAATACAAAGCCATAGTACTACCATGGCACTATTAAAAGTTGTGACCTGACAGTCTGCTGTGAAAGTTGATGCTGATCGCTTCTTCCTCCCCGAGCGCGTTTGCCCCTCCAAAAGTCAGCAGCTGCGACTGCCCTGTAATCCAATGTGGCTGTCGCCTTCTCAGCACGCCTAGTTGCAATCGCTTCGACATTGTCACGACTGAGAAGCTGGTCATATTGCTCAGTAGCACTGGCTTGTTTGGGGCGTCGGCCACTCTAAGAAGCCGCACGTTGTCTCAATTTTATTGGGGCTGGGGTGTTGCAGTTGCGGTAGCCACTCTGACCGTTCACGCTACTCGTGGTGACGGCAATTACGTTCCCCTTTTGGCCGCTTTGACACGCCATGAGGGCTTTTCGCAGCAAGTTGGCTGCTGGCGGCAAGTGCTGCAGCTTGGAAAGCTTTGCAGGCAAAAAGGGTCCAACTTTCCCTTAGCTCAATTCAGGCTGCAGCTAGGGTAGGCGAAACGCTCTTTTTCTCAAGAACTGATTGAGCCTCCCACGCAAAATGATGATTTCTGAAGTTGCGGGCACTGCCACGGCGCCGAAACGCGGGTGTTTCCTGAAGTTTTCGCTTGAACATCTTGAACTTCAGCACTATTCACGTATAGGCCCTGAAAGGGTCATCCTAGTTTGCTGCTGCCCTTTCCCTGAACGCTCGACCTGCTCTCTCTTTCGTTTGGCAAATCTTTGTAGCCCGCACTTATTGCGCAATCTGTTCGAATTGCTTGCGAGATTGCAAGTGCTTCCTTGCCCGCTAAATAGTCACAGACGGAGGTGGGGCACGATGATCGCAGTCAAAAGACTCGCCACTTTTTCGGGCCACCGCGCATCTGGGAGGTAAACGCAACGCGACCGCCGCCTGCTGAAAACGTGCCGAGAGAGGAGGCACGTTTTGAGCAGGTGGCAGCGGCAAAGCCTCCGCTCCGCGATTCGCCTCAGCGTCTTGGACACCCAGGACGTTAATGCCAGCACTGCCGTTCTAGCGCGGCGGGCGAAGAGCTGGAGCCCTTCCACACGAGGATGCTGTCGGCGGGTGCGTTGCCATCCCTGCTGCAGCGTTGCCATCCCTGCTGCAGCGCGAAGGGCAGGCCGTTCGCGTGCGAGACGTCTCAACAAAGGTTCCTCACAGCAGAGCCAATGCCGCAAGTTGGACCGACCATTTGTTTCCTGCTTGAAACGATGAAACCAGCCACGGTTGCAGCGTGTAGTGGGAGGGACAAGCTGGTGCAATCAAAGATGTTGCTGGCTGGCGACTAGTGTTTGCCGTTGGCGGGGCAGTTTTGCCCTGTGCCTAGGCTCGCTATTTGCGCAAAGACGCTACAGCTTTCGGCTCGAAAGGAAGTTGAACATAGAACCTGAGAAGAATGGTCGGGCCACATTCGAACATGTGAGCAGGGAATGTCACACTTAAAAGCTTTTGATTGAGTTGACTAGGATAGTTGAGGGATTCTGTGATTATCCTGTTTTGACTTGGGACGTTCTGACATAGAGGCGCCAGAGTGGACGACAAGAAGCCCAAAAGCAGCCAAGATTTGGGGTGGAAAGTCTTCAAGTAGCGCTCAAGTCCACGGTCTGGATCATTGCAAAGACCCAACTTGCTGAGCTGCGGGCTGTGAAGCCCATGGCTGGCGGGGGCAATGCCATGTCCACTGCCAAGATGCTGGGACGGGCGGTTGGAGTGAGCCTTCTGACAGCGACGGCGCTGGTGGCAGTTCAAGTGCTCAGCAGCTTGATTTTGGAAAGACGCGTTGTGCAAGATAGGAGATGTTTGGAAGACTGGAAGCTACTGGCAGGATTGAAAAGGGCATAGTTGCCTTTCAGTTGTCTGGCGGGATGTGGCATGCTAAATCGACTATTACATGATTGTCGGCTTGACTGGAGGTTGAATTCAGACATGTGCCACTTGGCTTGTCCACCATACTATCCTCCAAATTCCGAGCAGAGATTTGAAAGTGCACATCCATTTGCTTTCGTGTTGCACACAAGACGGCCTTGCCCACTGGGATCCATCGCTCAGGAATCAAGCGCCGCCGCGGGCCTAAGGGCTTCAAGGACCGCGCATAGAAAGGATTGCCCCTTACCGCAAGGTGCGAGCTCAATTGGCACCTGGTGCTTTGAGGTATCCCAACTAACATAGCATAGACCCCGTCTTTCAGGGGTTTGGAAGACTAGTTGCCGCTGGGAGGGGCAAGGCTTTGAAGTGCTTGATGTTATAGCTATAGGCTGCTGTAAGACTGAACATCCAAGCAATCTGTTTCAGGCGGGTATTGTGTGGTATGTGTGGCGAATCACACTCTGGCTGATGTATAGTTTCAATCGCTTACTTCGGACATGACTATCCAAGGCTTGATTTTAGGCGCTTTGAGACATGTTTCGGCCATATGCTTATGGACGGTTTTCGGATTCATCTAGGCTTTCACACCCAATCGCCATCCTGAAAAACATGAGAACATGAAGCTTACTCCCAGTGAAGCCAGGACTTTGTGGCGACCAGTGTGCCACGGTCAGCTGAAGAGGATTGTGCGCGGGACCGGTTCTCTGCCAAAAAGTTGCCCAAGAACATTGAGGCTCAGAAGTGGATTCGGTTGTAGCCAAATCGAAGAAGAATGTGAGAGCTTTCAGTCTGAAACTCGGAGCCCTGCAACTTGGCCGAGTTCCGTTGATACTGGTGGTTTCCAATAGGCCATGGTCGCATCTGCGAAACGTGGTCCAAGAGAACTTGTTGCCCGACGGCGAGAACCTTCGGCTGGCGCCAGGCCATCGTCATCGGCTCCGGTATCGGTGGGCTGTATTTGGCCGCCCTGCTGGCGAAGTCGGGGCGCGTGGTGGTGGTGCTCGAGCAGAAGCTCGGCTGATAGCGCAACAGGTCTGGCAAGTTAGCTGGGAGGAGTATTTTCTGCAGAGGGGGTCAAGAGCTTTTGAAGAAGTCTAACAGAAAAATGGGGTGTGGTTTTATCAGGGTTGCCATGCCATGCGCCCCACGGACAAGCTCCTGGTTGGGATGAAGCCGCCTGCCAATGATTGCGTCTATCCGCAGCCGCAGTGTGTCCTTGGCGAAGAAAGGCCGGAGCCGAGGCACTATGTGGCAGGAGGGTGCACTCACGAGTTCACCGACAAAGGTTGGACCTTCGACACTGGCGTCCACTACGTGGGCCGTGCGGAGAAGTATGGTTCCCTGGCTGGGGAGGTCAGGCGCACGTCTGGGCCGCTATTCCCATTCCTCCCCAAAACAGGTCCCTTCAGTTCAAAACAAGGGTCATATGGGCGCCTCGCCAAATCCCCAAAGTCTCCTTCTCTGAGGCAAGCTTTTGGAGCTGGTGTCAGAAGATCCCATCGAGTTTGCCAAGCATCTTGGCTTCCAAAAGATGTTCACTGGGTATGCAGGGCACTGAGCGGGGATTCACTGTGCGTGCGGTAAGTATCGTTGCCCTCAGTGTGTGTGTGTGTGTGTGGCACCAAGTGCCCGCGGAGAACTGCCAGTCTTTCGGTCTTTGCTTTGAAGCTTCGCAGAACGGACCGAGCCACCGCCATGCTCGCGCTCGGAGATCTGCTCCCTGCGTTCACGGCTGGCCAGCCGCTTTTCCGCGCTGAGCATCGGTTTCCCGCCGCGGGGGCCCTTTCCGTTGCCTTTGTTGGCCCCCTTCTTTCCGTTTCCCTTGGCTTTGGCCTGCCTGATGTTCCAAGATGCTCGTGCCGTTTGCGGCAGGGAGCTCGCCAGAATGGCGCCGCTACCGTCAGGAGTACGTGCACAACCGTTTTGTCCGGCGAGGTTGTGGCGCAAGCGCGAGTTTCCTTGACGGCATATGAGTGTGTGTGTGTGTGTGCGCGCGTGTGCGCGTGTGCGCGTGTGCGGCTGTGCGGCTGTGCGGGTGTGCGGGTGTGCGCGTGTGCGCGTGCGCGTGCGTGTGCGCGTGCGTGTGCGCGTGGGTGTGACGCGTGGGTGTGAGGACGAGCGGGTGTAGGTGTGCGGGCGTGCGGGTGCGTGGGTGTGTGGGTCTGTGGGTATATATATATATATATGTGTGTGTGTGTGTGGGTGTTGGTGTGTCTGTGTGTGTGTGTGCGTTTGTGAATGTCTGGTTGCGGTGTATCTCAGTTTGTTTGTTTGGTTTTGGTTTCTTTGTGTTTTCAGACAGCGGCTGTCAGTTGTCTGTTCTCATGACACGATCCCTGCCTGTGTTGCTCCTGCTCTCCTCCCCTGATTGATAGGCGTGTGAGATTTTTAGTTCGTGTGATATCGACCATGACCGTGAGGTTCTGTAGGGCGTCGAGGAGGAAGGCGACCAATTGCACCCGTCAGTTTGTCGTGCGTTTGGCTCGTGTGCGACAGGCACTCTTATTGTGATCCATGCGTAGCCGGGCTGTGGCAGTGGCCACCGTTATGTGTTTGAGCGCCTGCGTCCCATGTTAGGCCGCCAAAAAGATCTAAGGCGCCACGAGGTTTGTTGCCTGCCAGGCGTGTGTCCGGCCCAGCCACGTCCACCCGTCGTGAGAGTCCGCGTGGGTCGCACGTGTGCTTGAAGGCATGGCTGGGGATACGACATATTCCACCCGCCTTTTCCTGAATCACCTCCAGGGTGTCTCGCCTCTTCTCTTTCAAACAATCTCATTTCGACATCCCTGCGGCGGGCCCGGACAGCCTGATGTGAATACCTTGTGCTCTTATTTCACCAGGATGGGAAGCGACTCAGATGGCTATGTGTACGACCAAATCAAGATTGGCGAGGAAGCCATTCACTCGCTGAGAGCTGGCAGACAAAACTTCATTGAGGACAGGATTCTTCGGAGATTTTGGGGGGTCACCGTCTTGACTTGGTTTCGATCATTTGTGAAGTGGATTGCCCTGCCCAACATGTTGGCGACTTTGCTGTCAAGCACTGTCTTCAGACGTCTGCCTGGTGAACTGGAAACGCAGACCAGCAGTTCATTTTGAAAGTCGGATGGTGCAGTAGCGTGACTTGATTTGGCTTGTTGGAAGTCCAGAGAGTTTGGTCCCCGCTACACCGGCGAAATGCAGCAACGCGACGCGCTCCAGGACTTGCAGAGGCGCTTTCCAGAAGAAAAGGAAGCCATTGAGAGGTATGTGGAGATGGTGGTGAAGTGCAACAAATCTGCAGATTTGCACTTCTTTGGCAAACTTTTCCCGCGCTTTCTGCAACGCTTCTTGGCAAGCCCCTAAGAGACAGGGGCTCATTTTCTGCAAAAAGCGGCCCTCCAAATTGGGGAGATCAGATGTCGCAAATTCGATCTGGTCAGATTCCCTCTCGATTTGTTGATGTGTGTCCTATGTCGTTGTATAATTCTACAAGTCACGCGTGCCCAACCGCATGTCTCCTTCATTGCGAGCTCTTTCTCAATCGATTGTGCGATGCGACTCAGCCGCTTTCCCATGGATCAGCGTTGGCCAGCCCGCGCTGTCTTTGGCCGCAGCAGGTTTATTGGACCCACTTCTGTCCGCGAAGTTCAACAAACTTGCTTCACGCACGGCCACTTGGGCATGGTTGTGGTCCAAGAATTGAGGTTTGGTTCGAAGCTCTCCATCCCACCCTGGGCCTTGCAAAGCGTGAGGTGAAAGAGGTGATGGATGAGCTATTCCATTCAGAGCTGTTGAAGGCCATCCTTTGTGGCCAATTCGGGGACTACGGTATGACCCTCAGTGAAAAGGGGCTGGCTGTGGGAAAGAAAGAGGGGGGCGCTTGGGAACGGAGATGTTGGTTCTTCTTTTCCCTTTCCAAAAAATATGTCTTTCTTTTTGTTGTGCTTTTGGGGCAGTTCTAATCCCAACCCTCAGCAACCCTAAACACACTTAAACCTAGCCCTACCCGCCAGAAACCGACCCTAAACCAACCCGAAGCTCCTTTTGTCGCTGCCCCGCAAAGGGCCTGGGTGACTGCGCACTCTGCACTCTTGGTGAATGAGAGGGAAGGCAATCGAAACCATCCAACTCGCTGAGGATGAGATCTGGCCGTTGCCCAAAAAGAGCACAGGTCTACCCTCCACTACTGCTGCGTAGAGCAGTGCACTCAAGTGGACTTGTGCATCAACCAAATGAGGTGAATTGCACAGTTTTTGGCAACCTCTAAGTAGCATGTAAGCAGGGATGCAGCAGGGCTGTCTTGCCAACTTCTGGCATATGAGCGACTAACCAATTCTCCGATTGAATATGTATTACGGTCGGACAACCCCAAAAAGTTCAGATTTCGCTCTGAAGCGAAATGAACACCCCAAGTTAACGAGATCAGAACGAGACAGTGTGGTACCAGTAGCAAAAATAATGCGAAACGAGAGAAAACCAAATCCTGTCTTGGTCGCTGCTTTGCGTTCGGACGAACCAAAAGCAAGAAGCCAAGAAGAATCCAGAACCCGTCCAACACGAGTCCGCAGCGGCTTGGCGAAGTGAGACACGGCGAAAGCGCACTTCGCGCTTGGGCCGACCACGTGCGCTGTGAAGGTTTCTCTTTCCGAGCTTGCTCTGCCAAAGCTTCGCGTACTTGTGCTGAAAAGTGTTTTTTGAGCCGGAGCCGCCAGAATGTGCTTGGGGTACTGCGGCTGCAGGGAAAAAGCGCGATTTGCAAGCTTGAAAGCGTGGAAAACGCAAAGCGACGTGTTGAAAAAACGAGTGCAAATGAGTGTGGAGGACAAGAGAATCAGTCGGCTCTCATATTTCTGTCATCCAGATGAGCGCATCTCAGCGCAGCGCATGTCAACATAGCCTTGCTTCAAGATAACCTTGCCCCCGCTCCCGCTGTGGCGCCGTGCAAAATACAAAAAATGCCTTCCAGACTGGGCTGCAGTCGTCTCATGGTCTGCAAGCCCGCTCTTGGGATCGAGCGGTCCCGGGCTCAATTCCCCTGTCTAAACATGCATCGTGCCCCGTTCCAGCATAGCCTTGCGGCATTGCTGCGCAGCACATCTCAACATAGCCCTTGCACAGCCCTCCTTGGGGGTGTGCTGTGCAGTAGACCTAGCCTTGTTGAGCTAAAACCCTCAACTACGCTTTGGGGAAGGGGAAAGCACAACTACAAACACATTTTTTCTGCGCCTCTTTGGAAATTCTCTAGGCAATGGCCTCCATGTGCCCAAGTGACATCCTATGGCCTTTCACACATTGCGCAGTGAGGACCCCGTCCTCGGCCTCTTTCTTCATCCATGCAGGAATTGTGAGCCATTACCTGGAGTCTTGGATGTGAAAGGATGAGGTTGGTCTGATGCAAGTGTCGCGGAGCTGATGGTAAACACCCAGTTGGTCGGGAGCCGTTTGCCACATCCTGCGCTCTTCGAAACGAGGCGCTCATGCCGGTACCAATCCCCAGGTCTGATTCTGAAGTTTGGTCTTGGGCCGCTGGGCAAGTGCCAGTGACATCCGATTGAAAGTCATACTGAAAACAGCTGAGGGTTCAAAACCTAGTGAGGTGTTATCCCAGAATGGTTGATCTACTTCGTGATGATCTTCTCAGGATGGGGGCTACTACCCCGTGGGTGGTCCACAGAACATCAGCCGCGGTCTTATCAAGACCATCGAGAAAGCGGGCGGCCGAGTGCTAGTCAACGCTCCAGTGGAGAAGGTGCGCATTCGTCGGGTGATTGGTGATTTGAAGACGGCCGAAGTTTATCCCAATTGAAAGAGAGTGTGATTTTCAAAGTGGAGACAGAACCTTTTTGAAGGGACCAAGTTTGCAACTGGCTGGCTCTTGGGACAAGATTTCTCTTGATCTTCTAATGATCTGGATCTTCGCCCCAATGTAAACCACCAAGCCAGTTTTGTCCTTCGGAACTTGTGAAATTTTTGCAGGGGCGCCCAGCAAAATCAACGAACCCTCCTTTTCATCTCCATTTGGGTGTGGCTCAAAATTACATGGCCTAGGGCAAACCGGTTTTAGTCTTTGGTTCCATTTACCTTTTGGTGCCATTTTGGGTTTCCATTTATTTGAGCCACAGCCAGTCTCAAGGCCCCCTGAGATCACCGTGTCCCTTGGCCGCGCCGCGGGGCTCGTGCTGCGCAACGGCGCGGCGGTCGCCGCGCCGCTGGTGGTGTCGGCGGCTGGGGCGGAGGCCACGGCCAAGCTGCTGCCGGGCGTTGCGCCGCCGGAACGCTTGGAGGGGGGCATCAGTCACATGTCACTTGGCGGGGCGGTTTGGGGTGAAAAAGTTGTGATTTCTGCGAACAGATACGAAGTACTGTGAAAGAAATCCCGCACTAGTTGATATCCCTTTGACAGAGACTTTGACTGCCGTGCAGCTGGGCGACAACAGCTGGCCTCAACCATCTTGTCTGCAGATTTGGGAGTGGTAACTGCTGGATGAGGTATGCCTTCATCGGCCTGAAAGGCAGCAAGGAAGAACTGCAGCTGACGACCTCCAACTTGTGGGCGTTGCCGTCCAAGGATATTGAGAAGGACAGAACAGGTCTGGCTTTCGGATCACAATGATCCCGGACTTCCGACGGAGAAACAATGGGAAGAATCAACAACACCGAGTTGGCGAATCATGTTTCCAAGGTCAACTTCTTCGCACTTGCCCACTGTGTACCATGGCCTGTCCTGCGTAGGACTTGCAGAGCTACTATGCAGATCCGTGGCCCTTCGTCGATGATGGCAGCATGCTACTCTTTGTGGGCTTCCCCTCGGCAAAGGATCCGCAGGCAGATCCGCAAAGGAGTACCTGTGTGACGAAGCGGCAGGGGGAGGTTTTGGAGGGCTTGGGTTTTAGCCGCGCAGTTCCTGCAGTTCCGGTTGCGTCTTTCAAACTTGGCAGTGCAGAGATTGCCATTTGAACAGCTTCAGCTTCAGCCGAGGTAATCATTTGCGAAGCCAAGGAGGAGTGGTTCCGCGATTGGAAAGGCGAAAAGCAGGGCAGACGTGGTAAAGACTACGAGCAGGTGAAGCGGAGATTCCAGGACGGCCCATGGCGCAGGGCGCAGAAATTTGGGCCTGGCTGAGTGTGAAGACTAAGACTAAGATGTCCATGCGCTGGGCAATCGAAGGGAAGTTTTTCTTCCACCCGCTCCTGGTCCCTGGTCACGTTTGTCTTCGTTCCAAGTTGCGCCCTGTCAGGATGGCATGCTGAAGGGCCTCTTGAAACACTTCCCCCAACTCGAAGGCCGCATCGAATATGTGGAGATGGCCAGTCCCTTGTCCAATCGACACTATTTGAACCGTGCTGCAAGCTATGGATTGCAACATCCGCCAACGAGATACACGGTGGCTTGGGCGAAAGGGATGGGGTTTGAAAGTTTCATATCGCAGGTTGCTGGGACTTAAAGAGTGATCCCTGGAACTAATCCTGACAAGCCCCTTGAAGGCTGAAGTTTTGGTGCCGCAGCCCCAGCTTCCCAGGTGAAGGAGGGTCTCCGCCCGGGCTCCAACATCGAAGGCTTGTGGCTGACTGGGCAGGATGTGACGACCAACGGCTTTGCGGGCGCCTTGATGGGCGGCGTGGTCACGGCGCACGGTGTCCTCGGATATGGCTTTCTGGAGCTGGCCCTGTGTGGAAGAGACGCTTGGTGAGATGGATGGGGAGGTCTTGCTTGAGATAGTGGCATGGCCTGAGGATTTGATCACCGACATGATGAGCGTCCAATGAGCAGTTTTGCGCGATATTTGGCTCTATGGCAGGCGTTAACGCCTGCTATGTTGCAAGTGTCTGCCACTTGGGTTTGGACTTGTTGCCTTTTCGCCCGGCGCCGCAACGCGCGCCTCGCGACTTCGTGGAGCCCTGGGTGTGGGTAGATTCACCGCAGCTTCCGACCGAAGCGGAACTTTCGCAGTCGACCCTTGCCCATGGCTTTTCTGCATCTTCCAGAACAGAAGACTTGCGGTAGCGAGAAGGCTTGGTGCCGAAGCCTTTTGCTTTCAAAGCCCGTTGTCCCAACATTGTGCAAGTGCATCAACAAGCACAGCGCAGCACAACACGCACACAGTGCCTTTTTCTGAGCGAAGATGGAGCAGCCGCGATTGTAGCGCATGGAAAGAAAACATAATGGTGCTCACAAACACAGCATTGGGACGGCTGGCTAGAAACTTCGGTCGTGGGGAAGACCACTTTGGCGATTATCAGAGACACCACAGTTAGCTCAGTGCAGAACAAGCCCATTGACCAACGCCCTCTCCAGTTCCGCTCTGTCCAGTGAACTTGTTCCGAGGCGCCGCACACGTTGCATCCGCGAAACCCGCAAGGCACAACACCCCAAAGGACAGCATTGGTCTGCGCTGCAGCGCTGTGCTGTGCTGCGCTGTGCCCTGCTGTGCTGTCCTGCTGTGCTGCTCTGTGGAAGAGCTGCTGTGTTTGTGTTGTGCGTGTGTGTTTCCGCTTCGCCGTACAGGTTTCGCTGTGCCTCTCTGCTGAGTTTGTGCGACAGTGATGCCGCTGCCCTTACGTGCTGGGGTGGCGGGGCAGGGCCGGGTGGACACGCCCAGGGCCACCACCTTGCCTTCTGTCAGATGTTGTGGCAACAAGTGGAGTTGCCTGAGTTCCCAAAAAAACCCGCAGACCCTAGAATGCTGAGAGGTCAGTGTCAATGACAGGGGAACATGCATGGTCTGACACGGGTGTCTGGGCACAAGTGGCTGCAAGCAACACTGAGTTGGGCTTGCGCCAGCTTGAGCTTTTGGTTCAGATTGCCGTTTGGCGCGTTGTTCCTTATTGTAGCCCGGGCTGCAATGACTTTGGTCACAATCACGATGTGGCCTCGACTTGTCAGCCTTGCGTTGTCTGTTGTTTTTGTTCTCGCCTCGCAGACAGAGACCAATCCAGCGCTGCCTAGTGCCAACCTTCTTGGTGCTGGCTTTGACTCCACCACTGGCTCTTCCCCGGCGGAGAATCGCCCCGTGCTCACACTGAATTGGAGCCAGGGGAAGACCTTCGCCAACCCAAAGGACCCCTCCATCACCTACAATATCCCAGACGAACTCTTCGTGACCGTGCAGACGCACCTGGATTCTGACGTGACCACAGCAGTCTCTTACACCGTGAGCTCATACGCTCATTCCCAGGCGGCCGGCATCTCCCTCTCAGGCGGTGGCAAACTGGCCGGTTCACCCTTCTCAGCCAACGCAGCTGTCGAGGAGTCAACAGGCTACCTCTCTCAGCGGAGCAAATACTCAGCCGTCATCATGTCAGAAATGTATGCGACGGTGTACCAGGCCACCCTCCCCAACCCAGCTTCCATGACCCTTGCAGAGGGCTTTCTGAGTGACGTGCAGGAATTGCCTGCATACACCCCAGGCTCTCGCGAGTACGCCAGCTTCTTGCAGCGTTACGGTACGCATGTGATCCTGGGTGCTTACTTTGGCGGCACAGGTGTCTCCAAAGTTTTCCTCAATGCAGAGCTGGCGCAAGGCTTTGCAACGAGTGACATTGCCGCGCAGGCCGGCATCAAGTTTCGCTTCGCCGCTCAGCTTTCCAGTGAAGATGCCCAGAGCTGGTTCAACGGCAATGAGCAGGCGCACAGCGAGATCCATACATACATGAGTGGCGGTGATCCAGGCCTGGCCTCTGACCTCAGCCACTGGAGTGCTTGGGTCTCCTCCTTCTTCAAGTTCCCAGCCCTCGTCCACTCGGAGAAGTTCCAAATGAGCCTCGTGGACATTGCAGACCTTGTGCCCGCAGAGAAGCGCGGGAATGTGTCGCTTGCTGTCCACGACTACGTGCGGGCCAAACCCTACCCGACAGACCCAGACTGCGCTGGTAGCGTGTTCTGCAACGATGGCTGCTGCAAGAAGGGCAGCTCTTGCTGCTATGACAGCAGTGGGAAAAGCTCCTGCTGCGACGGACTGCTGGACACGTGCTGTAAGCGGGATGACGGCAGCGCATACGCCTGCAACGCTGATTCAACATGCTGTTTCGGTGGTTGCTGCGGGGGAGACTACCCCGGCTGCTGCAGTGATGGTTGTTGCCCAGACGGCTATGGGGTCTGCTGCAGTGATGGCTGTTGCCCAGACGGCTATGGGGTCTGCTGCGAAGCCGACGGCGACAGCTGGTGCTGCGCAGATGGACATGATTGCTGGGCGTGGGCGCACGGGTGCAACCCCTTCGCGGGGAGCAGTGAGAGCAAGGCCCCACGGCGAGAGCGAAGGTCGACCAGACCAACCAATCCAACGAGCCTCTTCCAATTCTTCTCTTGAGCAGCTGGAGCCAAGAGTCGGGAGCGCCCGGCAAGTCTTTCGTTGTTTGCTATGGACTCTGCTGGCGTTTCTGAGCTCTTTTACCAAACCAGTCTGCGATGCTCCGGAAAAGCCACACAACCAATGCTTCACAACCAACAAATATTTTTTTTAGAATTTTAAACCGAGAAAAATATATTTTTAGAAGAAAAACCATATATAGAATGAATAATTATTTATTTTGGGTTTGTTAGGTATTTTTATAGGATTTGAATTAATTTGATATGAAAGGAAAAAAATATTAAAAAAAAATATAATATGAAAATTATAATTATTTTTTGTTTTTTTAAGTTATATAATGGTTTTATATTTTTTTTTTATTTTTTTATATGTTTTTTTAAAAAATTTAGTTTATAATATATTAATAATAAAGTAGTTGGCAAAAAACAAACTTTAATGTTATATAAAAAATATAAATTTAAAATATATATAATTAATTTAAAAATTTATTAAAAATATAATTTATATTATTTTTATATTAAAGAATATATATAAATTGAAATTAATTATAAACAAATTATAAAATAGTTAATTGTAATTGAATTTTTGAATATATTGATATTAATTTTGGGCGATATTTAAAAGGTAAAACTATTATTTTTTTATGTTTTATTGTTTTTATTGTTTTTATGTTTTTTATATTTTGTTTAATATTGATAAAATTATAAATTTTATATTTTAAAAAATATTTATGAAAAACATAAAATTAGATTATGATTGGTTAGAAAATATATTATTGTGAACCAGGTCGGTCTAACATTGTAGGTACATTCTTTCTTTTTATATATAGCATAGATAATAATAGGCGGCTTATTATTTATTGGTTTATTGAGTGAAAGAAAAATATGTATTAGTCTTAGTTGAAATACCTTTACGGGTTGTGTAGTGTTTTTTTCCTTGTCGTATTTATGTTTGCATTGGTTCGGAAGCGGCTATAACTTATAACCATTTCCTCCAATTAGAAACATGCTTTTATTAATGGAAGCTTATTTCTTTTTAACATGATATTATTAACCCCCAACTCCTGCTTCTTCCCTCCTTAGACTCGCACTTGCAGCCGGACGGCGCATCGAAAACATCGCTTTCCGCAGCAAAATCACATCGCGCAGCGCCAGGACGCAGTCACTGGACCTAACGTGTTATAATTATTGATGGTTATTTGCGAGGAGTCGGCCAGGGCGCGGCCCGTAGCAGGCGCGCTTGCAACGTTTGCAAAGGCTAAGTGCTGCACGAGAGGCATGCTCCTATAGTGGCGCAGATTGTGATGCACGATCCTTTTCCCCCAACAGCTGAAAGCTTCGGGGTCTCAGCCCAGATAGGCTCCGGGATGGTCCGGGACGGCACTGAGATAAGGTTCCACGAGGGTTCCACCAGGGTTCCAGGGTTCCAGGGTTCCACCAGGGTTCCACCAGGGTTCCACGAGGTTCTGCGAGGTTCTGCGCGGGCTGCGGGGTGGTGCGAGCACTAGAAAGAGCACCGCATGGCTGTTGGGGATATCACCTGAGCTTATTTAATCCATTTGCTTCATTGATTGTTTTTTAAAAAATATGACCGTCTGCATGATCAAAAATTTCGCAAAAGCAAGCAAAACCCGGCGCGTATTGGAGTTCCGTACGACAGAGCAGCGCCAATGCATTGTAAGCCTTGGCTGCCAGCACCCCAGGAAGAACACGTCGCTTTTGCCGGTGTGCTTGCAATTAACATCTCAGCCGTGCGCTTTATTGAGGCCAACTTTGGCTTCATTCCCAGCAATTGGCATACCATGTTTCTTTCTATGACCACAGAACGAACAATATTGTTATTCGCCCTCGGTATGACAAGTCATAAGGTCTGTGTCGCAATCTTGGATCGGCTTTCCCATAAGCAAGCGCGGGGCGAGAAGCCCGCCGTGAGGGTGGGCAAAGACGCTCTCGACCTTGCATCTCTGATGGCGCAGCGGCCTCGCAAGCGACCTCGCGAAGCTGCGCTGCTTGAGGCCGAGCGCAACTAGCGGCGTCGGATCGAGCTCCTCGAGGAGCGGCTAGAGAGCACGAACTCCTCGAGGAGAGATTTGAAGCGTACAAGAACGCGGCGTAAATCTCCAGACAGATGCACGTTGTTATTGAGATGGCTCTTCACCACCCGGTCACGTGCGCCCAACGGGCAGAACTGGCCCTGCGTTGGCTCGAGGCCAATCTTGAGTGGCATGCGCGGCGGGACTATTACCAGGGCAAGGAAATTTTGCTTCGCTAAACGGCCTACGACTGGCGCGCAGTTCCCACCCATCAAAAAGTCTTCTAAGGAAAGGCAGCTGGAAGAAGGCGAAAGCCGCAGGCCGTTTAGCGACGATCGAAAATTTCCGGTGACTCGGGGCCTTGGAAACAAGGAGAAGTCTTAGGCCGTTTAGCGACGGCTGCAAAAATCCTTTAAGGGTATGGCCGACATGGTCAGTTGCAAAGCGAATTCAGAAAACATAGCAGCAGACAAGGCGGAAAGGTCGGAGAGCGCAACATGAACAGGAAGGAAGAAAGAACAAATAGCGAAGTGATTTGCGTGTTGACTTGGCTTGCGAAGCGTTGTCTTTCCTGGCCAAGATTGAAGTAGCCTGTTTGGGATTTGTGTTCCGGCGATCAACCTTTCAAACGCTCGAGCCGTTGCTGAGAAAGCGACCCCTCGATTTGAAAGCCTTTCGCGCCCCTGCCAAGCAAACATGGCCTCGTGCGTGCCTCGGCTCTGTCGCGAACGAACGCAGAGGGCGAGGCAGCGGACCCTTGCGTCTTCAATGGAAACGGAACAGGGCGCCCGGCGCGCGCACTGACCCACGGGCGCTGCATATGGTGCTGCCCAGAGGAGACGACACGCCGCCTGGCGAGCTCGAAGCTCGAGAAGTTTCTCGTCTACACGCTTGTCAAGTTCAAGAGCGCGAACGGAGAAGTCTTTGAGAAGGCGAAGGGGCGGTTGCCGGAACACCGCCGGGCACGCATCTTAGCGGAGGTCGACGCGCGGCTGGCGCCCGAAGAAGAAGACGTGGAAATGGCGCCAGTGGCGGAAAAGGCGGAAGACGAGACCGAGGAAGACGAGGAGGATGAGACGGAGTTCGCGGAGCTGGGCGTCGTTGCTGACAACCCGAACGACGGCGAGGGCGAGCTGGACATTGACGTCGGCGAGGTGGACTGCGGCAACGCGTTGGGCGAGGCTGACGCGCCGTTTGAGCCCGTAGAGGACGCCGAGACCAAGGACGGGAACGAGGAGGCGGAGGAGATTGCGTGACAAGCAAGCGGCGCCCGTCTACGGACCGCCGCTCCCGCTACCTGCGGCGGCCGCGGCGGTAGCGGGCGCGGCGTTGATGGGGCGCGCCGACCGACGGCGGCGGGCGAACCCCAGGCCAAGTTATAGTGCCCAGGCCAAGCAGGCGCAGGCTGCGCGTGGTCCAGCGCTCGTCTTGACAAGCCGGCCAACCGCCGAGATTCAGCCAGGGCGCGCGCAGCTTGACAAGACCCTCACCCGGCAAAACGGCTTCCAGTTGACTAAGACTCTCAAGGCGTTGCGGGAGCTTGACGAGGCGAAGCGCGAGGCGGCGCTGGACAATTTGAAGGGACGGAAGGGCGCGGCCTTCGCGGCGGACTTCGACGACCACGTGGACTTTGCCATCTATCGCGCCTTGGAGCGGGGCCGCACGCCTACGCAACGGATCACAGAGCGCTGGGGCGACCTCCTGGAGCGCCGCGTCCGGGCACAAGGGCTGCTGAGCGACGACGCTTTGAAGACCTACGAGCAGGCGGTCCGGCGGGATAAGATGATGCTCCGACGGAAGATCTTCGCCCGGGACTGCGGCAAACGAGGAGGCGGAGGTCGCCCAGATGCCTTTACCGCCCGCAGATGTGGCGCCAATGATAGCGGGAGAAGACATTTCCTAATCGTCGGCTGTCGGACGCTCCGCAGATCCACGGGTTGGAACGGCCGCGGCCGAACGCTGCACAGCCTTCGCAAATCTGCCACGAGCCATCCATGCTTGCACCAAGCCTCCGCCATCTTCGCCCGCTATGCCGGCGGGGCGTCTACGTGCCGCAGCCAGACGACACCCCGGAGCCCTTGCGCAACCTGCCGAACGAAGTGTTGGAGGCGTTGCGGCCGCTGGACGTGGACAGCGGGCGCTACGAGCGGGCGGAGCACGGCTACCGGGTCCACACGACCATGGTCCGATTCACTTGGGCGGCCGAGAGCGTTGGGGCCAAGATCCAGGCGCTGGAAACCCACGAGTTGCGCCGCGCGGCGCAAAAAGCCTTCCGCTTCTTGGCGCAGTCGGACGACAGCGCCTATGGCAACTTCGTTGACAAGCACGAGGAGTTCTTGGAGAACCATCCGCGGGCGTCGGAGCAAGTTCGAAAGAGGCCCCTGCGGTTCATCGAAGAGCAAGGCCTCGAAAACGCTGTTTGGCCGCATCTCGACTGGCACAAGAATCTTTGCGAGACGGTCGTTCGGGCCACGGACGAGAGGCGCCGCGTCCGGACGGGCCTTTCGGACGAGGACGCGTCGGAGGAGGGCGATGAGCCAGAAGAGGCCGCCACAGCGTCCGGCGCAGCTGGATGACAAAAGTCTTCAGTCCGGCCGTCGGCTACTCAGAGGACTTCACGGCTCCATTTTGTATGTGACTTGGTGCTTTGGACAAACCTTGGAGGTTGCAAAAACGCGACCCGTGGAATGCCCCTTCGCCTGGCCGTCAAAGGCTCGCCCATCTTTCCCAAATACTGGCGGGTCCGACACCAGGGCCTGATCGACATGCAGCGGCAGGCGCGCCGGCGCTGTTCCGAACACGAGCGCCTTACGAGCGGTCCTTCCCTTATCATCAGTGGGTCCTCCACGAGATGACGCTGGCCAGCCGCAGTCGAATGAACCTTGCTGGCCCGGAGACGCTCCACATGGCCCACGTCCTGAAAGAGATGGACCGTGGATTCTTTTCTGGGAAGAAAGGGTCTGCCTGGCTAGTTGGGTTTTTTGTATGGCTATTTGTGTTTTTTAGTGGGGTGAAAAAGGATAATCTTAAGCAAAGGAAAAATGCATCAAAGTAAACACAGCCTAGGTGTTTTGCTGTTGACCTTTGATTTAATGCATGGAACACATGGTATTTATGAATTATAGCGTTTGTTTTGCTGCACTTAACCGTTTTTGGATACAAACATTTATGTTTTAAATTGTTTATGTATAAATGTGTAATGTATGCGTCATCTGTATAGGAACCAATTTGTACATATGACAAACTAACTTAAAATTTGAATAGTTGGTGCATGGCGGCTACATTGCACAAAAACTGATATACCGTGGAAGTGTTGAAGTTGACCATTGCAAACCATATCAGCACATGCCTTGTCCTGGGCAAAGCTCATCACAAACCCACCGAAGATGCCTTTGGGGGTGATCAGGGGTGGCTGCTTCAAGGGAATTCATGATCACTTTTGGGGGTTGGCTTGGCACCATGTCTGTCAGAAGGGGTCGAGGACGGCAATTGCTGGCCAGGGCCTCGGGCCTGCTGCTAGGGGGTCAAACTAGGGCACCGAAAGGTGCTTAGCACCGAAAGGTGCAATAATAAAATGCACTGAAGGTGCAATATTAAAATGCACCGAAAGATGCAATAATAACATGCACCGAAAGGTGCTTAGCGCCGGTTAATAAGAAGCACCGAGAGGCGCAGGGCCCCGGTCCTTTGTTCCTTACGCACCGAAAGGCGCCTTATTGTTTCTTTCGGGGCACGGTGTACTTCTTCGATGATGGCAGGTTGTAACCTAGAGGGCGTACGCTTGACAGGCGTCTTGCCTCAAACAGGTTTTCAAATTATATGGATGTTATTGCGTGGCTATATTCCCCAAATCAGCATGGTGCGGCTACAACGCAAGGGAGACGATGGCTGTCGGCAAAAAGGGCATTGTTTATTCTTGAAACTTTATTGGTGGCCATCCAAATTCCAACTCCTAGTCATCCAGGAGTTGGTGTCATCAACCAGGATTCCTGGTCATCCAGGAGCTGGTGTCATCAACCAAGATTTGGTATCACTAACTTTGTTAGTTTTCTTGGATTGGTCTTACGCTGGACAGCCAGGACGCCAACACTTGGTTATCCGTATCATGAACTTTTTGGGCAGCCAGGATTTTAAGTCCTGGTCATGGATGGCAGTTGCAGTTCTAGCACGTTGCAATAGTGTTGGAATAACTCTCGGCTGTTGGTCTCGACTCCAGCAGTCGCAAACAACATTGACTGAGACACAGATTCTGTGGTGGCAGGTGAGCTCGACTCGAGCATTGGTCAAACCACTGACTGCCTATTGTCCCAACCCCTACCGTTACCCCCCCGCCGCCCGCACAGAAGAAAATGTTCGAATTCATTTTGACCTATGCCGCAAGTGTAAAGTGCGCTAGCGAGCGTGGCCTGGTTCATCAGAGCCTGCGCAAGCCAGGAGGAAAGAAAATGAGGGTGTCAGGTGGCTTGAAGCTGGTGACAAACCAGCGGTTGGAGCTCAAGCTAAGAGTAGCAAGGAAAGGCAGCTTATACTACCCTGTTAATTTTCGTTTTTTGGCAAAAAAACCCGCCAAAACTGCATAATTTTCAACCAGCTGAACTTGTCACCAGCGATGTCACCGCTTCGTCACCGCTCCGTTTTTGGTGCAAAAAGCGCTCAAAACGGCCAACTCCGAAAAGTTCGTTTTTTCGTGTCAGACGTCAAAAGTGGTGCCTGAGCCTCCAAATTCGCTCGTTTTCGGTCGAAAACCGGCTCCAGACGTTCGCCGTGCTCCGAATTCTG